AACTTAAGTCCGGTACCTTATAGACATGGATCGGCATGACTATTGCGATGTATATCAGGTCCCCAAGGGCGAGGCTGGCTATGAGAGCGTTGGGTCCATTCCTCATGCTTTTGTTTTGGGAGATAATCCTCAGCAGGGTGGCATTGCCAATGATTCCCACAATAAAGATCAAACAGGAAAGCACGACATTGATGTACCTGAAGGTTGCTTTCATTTTCACATTGACTGAGCACCTAACCACCGTAGATGTATTGGTGGACGGTTGCTGTTCTTTGTGTTGCTTCAGCTTTTGGAAGTGTTGCTTTCCGTGACCACTCTTCTTCACATTATTTTGCAAATGATTCAAGCCTGGGTCTAGAGGTTGGTCAGTGCCATGGAAGCCTGGCAGATCAGACATCACCAGATTTGAGAAAGATGGCTCTGATGTGGGGATATGTTGGCAGACAGCTGGATCAATAAATGACAAACACCAGAAAATCAGCAGCAGGATGAACCCAAAGGGCATGGAGGAAATTCTGTGTCCCATCCTGGAACCCTTCACTGAATCTGCTGCTGCAACTCCAAAGATTCTTATGGACTGCTACTTCTAAACCACTTCCAAATTTAGAGAAAAATCTGGAGGTAATAGTATTTCTAAAACTTTCTGTAGCTTCAAAACTGATTCCAGAAGATCCCTGTTTGGCTGCTCAGATTCAGAAACTTGTTCAAAACTTGTTCCTGGGACTCCAGAATCTTTGTTGCTGAAGTTGTGAAGCTGGACTGAAAGGGGACGTGAAAGTGATCGGGGTCCTCAGATGAATCTGCTGTTTTTGGTCTGTGGAGAGGGTAGAATGAAAGTGACAGGTGACTGGTTAGTAAAGGCCACTTTTGAGGATTTTTGTTATATATTTAAAGATATTAATCCTATAAGATGTTAACATTTGGCTAGATATTTCTACATTGAGATAATTCACAGAGCTTGCAGAGGTAATCTCCAAGGAGCAACCTCCAGGACTGGAAAATGAAGCCTGTGAAGTTGCAAATTCCAGTTCTTCTGATGTCCTCTTGAGGCTGACTTCAGTAGTGAGTAAAGCCTCATAGACTCCCGTGGTAAAATGTTTTACAGCAACTTTACAGCATTACATTTTTTTTAAATAACGCACCTATCTGAATACTGGAGTAAGGAGCTGACTAAAGTCTGCTGCACTCAAAAAAGGAAAATGGTGGTTTTTACATTTACAAAAATGTAACTTGTAATTTGTACAAAATAATTTAATGTTTATGGTGAACCTAATTAAATCATGTAGTATATGTATGAAATTCAACAACTTAATTTATTCCTGTTGAGATGAAAGGATGCAATCTAGTATGAGTGGTTAGTTGCCTGGGCTCATGAAATTCACAAGATCACACAAAATTTCAAACCGCAGGGAAAACACTGGCGTTTTAAACGCAGACAACTATACACACACCATGTATTGAATTTTATTGTGGTTCCACCTGTCAAGGACAAAAATGTAAAGAAAATTCTGCATAAAGCTTTGTAATCCTAGCTGACCGCTGTGAGGCAGCGCAGTGGTTGGTACTGTTGCCTCACAGCAAGAAGGTCCTGTGTTCAAATCCATAATTCTGCTAGTTTGCGGTGAGTTCTCTGCAAACTAGCGGTTTCCTCCCACAGTTCAAAGTCATGCATTCATTAGCACTAGGTTAATTAGTGATTCTAAATTACCTGTAAATGTGGTTGCAAATAGTTGTTTGTCTCTGTGTGATAGACACCGGTGCAAATATAATGACAGCAGACTGACTGAATGTGGAAAAGAAGAACTTATTGAAGGTGTGTCAGGATCATTAAATGTGTGAGTGTGTTCAGAATATACTTCTTGACACTTTATCTGGTTTTACTTGTTTGGGCCACCTCAGATCAGACTGGGCTCAGTGAACTCTCACTTTACTCCTAAACCACAGACATAACAGAGACGTGTTTGAAGGACAGAACAGTCAGCTGGTGTCAATAAGACAGAAAAAATTAAAAGACAGATCACAAGTGTGAACTTTTCAGAATACACTGCTGGCTCACAATTCAAATTTACGTCTGTATAAATGTATGAAATATGAAAAGAAGTTTAAAAATCTCACCTGTTTGAGTTTTTCTGTCTTTGTCTTTCACTTCCTCTTGAAATAAATCCTTCCAAAGTCAACGAAGAAGAAGAAGATTAGTTCCTTCTGCTCAGTCCAGACTAAACTGACTAAAATCAAACTGAGTTCAGTTTTCACTTCCTCGCTCCCTCTTTATCTCTCTCTCACTCCGATTGCTGTAAATGCTCGGGCGTCCCCCTCCTCCCTCCCTCCTTCCTTCCTTCTCGTCTCCCTGTTCACTTGCTGTCCTCCTCCCCTCCTCTCTTCTTTTCAGGTCTCAGTGGAACATCTCATAAAGAAGACATGAAGACTTTTACCGTCAGTGAGCGTAACTGAAACCGAGCCAGATTTCCCACTTGAGAGCTTGTTGATAAAACAATGTTGTGGAAATTGAAGCTGTAAAGATTTACGACTGCGTCACGAGCGTTTGAACACGAGCGATTCCAGACTCCAGAGTCGGTTTATTACTGCACACGGAGCTCGGCGTTAATCCCTGAACTCATTTTACTGACTGATTCAAACAGTAATTCAACAAAGCTCCCACTCCAGCCCCAGTCTTCACAGCCATCACAGGAACATGCTGAAAACATATCAGGACAGTTTACAGAGTTTTTTTTATTTTTATGAGTGAGAAACACAAAGTAAACTGTGTTTAACTCAAAGCTTGAACATTCATGTGGTCACAAATTAATTAACTGATTTATTAAATGGAAATTATTCAGCTCAGTGCTCAGACTGCACACGTGAATTTAGAAGAAAGCCGTGCAGCTGTCCTGGATTTGAACCTTCCCTGCGCCTTTGTTCCCATTGTTTCCACCTACAGTTATAAATGCAGATAGACCAGAAAATTGCTACACAAATGCCCGAATGAATCAACACATGTGTTGTAAAGACCCACCTTTTAGCACATCCCAGCACACCCACTCACTTCACCAGATGCACCTTGTTTAGTTCTCTCACCTTTGATTGGGTGTGGTGCTTGTCCTTAATTGCACTCACCTGTCACACATTATATTAGGACTGCATTCACGTTTGGCTCACTCTTTCTTCACTCCCACACGGGGCGGCAGCAGAGCTAAAGTTCTGTTTGGGTTTTTGATTTTATGTGTTGTTTAAGGTAATGAGTAACTTAAATCTGTTTTCTTTCAGCATTGGCAGTCCCCGTGTGTCTTTCCTTCCTTCTTTGCTTTATTGATTGGAGAATAAAAGGAGAACCCTGTGAATGATTAGATGACTGCTTATTCTTATTCTAATCGGATGAGCCCATGATGCTGATTACTTAAACCCTGAGCCTTCCTTCCTTCGTAACAACATGCTTAATTCTGCACCTTAAAATGTTATTTTTTTCTCTCATTACAAAACTGTCACCAAAGGTTCAAACCTGGTTTCTGTAAGGCACCAATCAGGGTGACCATGGATCTCTACTGACGTCCAGACATGATAGGCACACAGCTGAAATATTATTAACCAAGAAAACACTCATTCCAGTGGATAAAAGAGTTCCTATTTATGATTTTAATAAAAATGGAATCGATTTTTTAATCATGAAGTACCATTAATCTCAAATCTCTTTCACAAGGGAGACCTGGCCAAAGTGATAGCTATAAACCAAAGATCCAATAAATAAAGCACAAAATAGAAGCTGAATTTGAATTTATGTATTTAAAAAGAACAGTGCTGTTTAACGTAGTCCAGGTACAAAATGAAACTGGTTTAACGCACATAAGTTTATAGCTATTGCTAATTATCAGTTGCTATCTACAACATAATATACAAACAAACAGCACCATAGTCTCTCAAGCACCAATCCGTCTGTCGATCTCCTGAGATAATTACAGAAAAAAGTCAATTTCTTGTGACAGCCTTCCAAACATTTGGTCATGTTTATTTTTTTTTAAGGTGGATTTTTCTTCTTCTTTTAGCTGCTCCCTTTATAGGCCTCCACCGCAGATCATCTGCCTCCATCCCTGTCACACCAACCCTCCGTCTGTCCTTGTTCACTACATCCATGAACCTTCTCCGTGGTGTTCCTCTTTTCAGCTCTAACAGCTTCCTGTCTAGTTGTCAGTGCCGCCACCTCCAACCCAAACATCACAGCAGGTCTCACTACCATCTTGTAAAGCTTCCCTTTCACTCTTGCTCCTATCCTTCTGCTACAAATCACCCCTGACACTCATCTCCACCCACTACCTGCACTCTCTTCTCCACCTCTCATGTGCACATAGTGGGTGGACGCAGGTATTTTAACTCATCAACCTTCGCTGCCTCTGCTCCTTGCATGTTCATGTTTCCACCTGTCTTCCCCTCATTCACACACATGTATTCTGTTTTTCTTCCACTGCCTTTCAATCTTCTTTGTGCGCTGGAAAGAAGAATGAAAGGCAGAACACCTCCACTGCTGCAGGCTCTTTTTGCACCTCCTCCAAACTTTCACTACAGATTAGTGTCATATGCAAACAGTCTTTTCCTTTTCCTTTGTCCTTCGCCCAACAGTAACAGATTCCACTAATACCCTGTTGGCCAGCAGGATCAGACACTGGGCCCGGATCAATCCAGAATGAATCTTGACCATCATCCACCTGTTTGAAATCTAACACTGACACAGGGTGTGCACATGAAAATTTTAGTCTACCTCTTAGAGTCAATAATGTGCTCCCCATCTTCCAATAAAAAAGTACTTTTTAAACTACATAAAGGCTTTTGAGATCTCATTGAACTAAAAGCAACAAGTAATGTCTTTTCAAGGCAGTGTATCATTTGTTGTTGTTTACAGTTTTTGGAGTGCCTAGAGAAACGTGATAATACCTGGCTTAAAAAAAGTTTCTCGCTGTTTACCGTTATACTGTCATTATGTTCAGCAATAACAGGAAATGAGAAAAAACTCTGGATCTCCTGTGACCATGGAAACGTTTAAACATCTGGCAGAAGCACACAGCCCGTGTTATTCCTGACTGGAACATGTTTGTGGGAGCATGCATGGTTAAACATCTGTGACACACGTGTGTCTGTCTTCCGGTTATCTGTCTGTCTTTTTTTGTCTCTGTATGAGTTTGATTTGGCTCCGCTCAGCGTGACCTTTGACCTCAGAAAGTTGATGTCGGGGCTAAATGCGCCTTTACGAGAAGTCCGTGTTATCTGAGTCTCAGCGAGATATGCAGCCCAGTGTGTGTGAGTGTGCGTGTGTTTTGTTTATTTGTGACAGTAAACTCAGAGATAAACACATCAAAGCTCTACGTGACTCAAAGCATGCAGCCAGATAATAACTCTTTTTCTCTGGAACAAATACACACATATTACTGCCTGGCTCAAAGCCCAGGGAAGGAGCTCGTAGACCTGTGACCTACATCAGAGGATGGCCCTCTCCTTTATTCTGTGCATGCCGCACAGAGGGACATATTTGTGTCCACAAGATTATTATCATAGGGAGACATTTATAAATTATTACCCTGAGACATTTTATTTATATATATATATATGAGACAGTTCTTTGGGCTTTTGGTTTTGCACCCACGCGTGCAGCTTCTCCGCTGCACTCCTACACACTCTCCCACACTCTGCTGCGGCCTCACTAAATCAACAGGGAAGAGAGAGAGAGAGCTCATTAATAAAACACCACATACCTGTACCACCAACCTGACTGGTACTGCCCCTTGAGCACTGCACAGCTGAGCCAGGGACCACACCTCCACCACAATATATATTTATTTAAATTGTCTGTTGACCCACATTCGGGTATTTGTACTTTACATTCTGAGACAGCATTTGCAGGAAAATATCTGAAAAATTATTAAAGCTAAAAACCTAAAAATTTCACTGCTCATTCTTATAATCAAAATGGGAATTAAAACCCCATTGAAAAGGAAAAGCAGTGCCAATTTTGCAAAAATACAAATGTTTTTTAAAAACTGTTGATTAATTTTCACTAAAATATCCTTTTTTAATTCGAATTTGAAGGCGAATTGAACACGTATGACAAGCTAACATAAACAAAGGCTCCATGTGGTGCTTGAATTAAAACTCAGAAAATACCTTTTTATGTATGATTACGTTTAAATTACAAAATTGATCCAATACTATCAGTACCAACTTTGGTATCAATAGTATTGATATTTGGCTTTGGTACTTTCTTTGCCTCCTTTGTTCTGTTTCAATGCCTGTGTTCAGTTAGCCTCTTCAGTATCTACAGCTGTTCATATCTCAGACATTACTTACTTTTTACTGCTCTTTCTTCCCTGATGTTCTTGGTCAGTGTTGGAGTTTCTCATGTGTGGGTCTTTCTCTGCCTTTCTTACCCCTGTCCACATTAAAGACTGGATTTTGCAGTTTAAGCAGTTGGAGCCCTTAGAACAACATTAGCGTTTATCTGGCTTTTGGTTTTTGGCCAACTTGACTCATCCAAGTCCAGTATCCACTCTCACTCAGCTCTGTTTATGCTCTTCAAATAAATTGTGAGAGTTGCTAAAACAATTTCCACCGTATTCCCCAAACATGGGCGCACACTTGTGTATGTGTGTGTGATAATTTTACCAATTAAACTAATGGCTGGGACGTTCAATCAATCAATAACTTCATCTAATGAAGCAGATTATTATTGATCACGAAATCATATTTGGTTTTCACGGATCCATATTTTCATATCAACTTTAATAGCAGGAAATTACTAAGGCATGTTCGTTCTCTCTTTTTTGCCATATTCTTCAAGTAACCTATATTTAACAACAACATAATAAAACGGGAAATGCTGTTTTTGGTGTGCCACTCCAATATTTTTAGAGCAACCCTTTGAAAAAAGTCTGGAGGTGTCCCCAGATTGTGTACTTTTAATATTTTTATACTGTTGTTTTTTACGAGCGTGCCCTTTTAGAAGAAGTTCTCAAAAAGCCAGCATAGTCAGGCAGCAATGAGTAGCGTGGATTTGTGCATCACTGTGTGAAATCAGTGACCTCTCTGTCAGAGATAACCTGTGAGGTAATGTGCTGCTCTTATCACAGTAAACTGCACCCATGAGGAGCAAAGAGCTTGACAGGCCACATGCCAAGACTAATTTTATAAATGTAATCAGTTTTATGGCACGGCTTAACTGCAGAGATGAAAAAGATGTGCTGTGTCTGTGAACAACAAATGCTTTTCATTTGAAGCAGAAGCATGTACAGGACCACCAGGACCGAGTGCTGCACTTTATCTTCAGTGAGCGCAGGTTTCGTTCTCACTTTCGTCTTGAAGTGCCGCTGATAAAAAGATAAATTAC